AAGTCATTCCGGTGTATTATTCTCGCGGCCATAAATACGTGAATGTATGCAAATGCGACGGGTCGCTTTTTTCGCTGAATGTAATTCTGTTCTGACTTGGCGGCGCAAACAGTGTGAGTTTGCACATTTAAAAATACGGCTGGAACTTTGCCCATTCGCCGCTTCATATTTTATGAAATTTAGGCAGTGGAGTGGAGATGAGGTGCTTTCGCCCACAAATAACGGCCTCGCACGAGCTGCATCTTCAGCACTTCGCACGCATCCCTTTTTATCTCGTCGGCGCGTTTTGATTGCCATTCTAATTCAAACTTTCTTTCTTTCTTTGGGCAAGGATTTCTCAGAAAGTTTACCGTGGCGAAAGTGTTTTGTTTGAATGATGGCTGTTTTCAACCACCCTTTCCTCGCCTGTTTTAATTTCATCTAAGGCAGGTATTTCTTAAGATTTTCTTATCTCCTCTCTCATTCTTAAATTATTCCAAACTTTCAGGAATAAAAACTTTGTTAAAAGCATTTGACTAAAGTTTCCAAACTGGTAAAAATGTGGACCTGCCAGAGTTTGTTGTTGCTGATAAAAAATAAAAAAAAAAAAACAGTAGATAAGCAACAAATATTCAAAATTCATTGCAGATTGCGGGAGAATTTTATACTAATGTGTCATTTCACCAAGATTTTAATAATAATTTTATGTTTTTTTTATTTTTATTTCATAGAAAAAATCATGATAATAACAATAATATTTCTGGTACATTAGAAACCAGTACTTGTAAAAGAAAATAGTAGTCTGCATTTCAAGTAAAATATATAGAAAAAATATTGTAGGATAATATTGTGATTTTTTCAGTTTGGTTGAAACTGAATATTGAAATTTTTATAAAAATAAATTCTAGTTTGATTCAAATTAATAGTTTCAAATAATGTTTGCAAAAAAAAATTTAAATTCCAAACTACCATGTTGGTGTGTTGCAGGAAAAATCTGTTTAATGAATATGTGGAATATGTGTTAATCCCAGCATTGCATTGAAAATCGTTTTGATTGTAGATTCGGCAAATGGACAACCATTTTTTAGCCTGGAATTTAAAATCAGCAGGAATTCATAAGAAATTATTAATTTATTAATTTTCCATACCTCTTTATCCTTTTTTATGACTGGATTACATTTGTAAAAAAATGCAGCAAAATAATTTGAAATTGTCACAACATATATGTATTAAAATTCATTCGAACCAATACATTAGCTATACAAGAAAGGATTAATCGGGATTAATAGTTTAAAAATTTTTTTCTTATCAAATGAAGAAATCAATACGGGTTCCAGGGCATTGCATTAAATCGCTGTCAGTGTGAATAACACGCACTGACCTCTATGCGTGGACGGAAACACGACACCGAACAAATATGCCGGCGAACACGAGGGATTCGAATGACGAATCGTTGCTCGCGGTTGCGCTCATAAAATCCGCGTGCACACAATGGAAATTTAATTTGCAGTCGCAGCGGTCGCGAGATGTGGCCACGCGCTTTATTATTGTTTATCCCGCAATAAATAATTGCCGGGGCCGCTGCCTTTATGATTATGGCTGCATGTAAAGGGGTGTTGTTTGCTTTGTGCGCCGAGGCGACGAATAATGGCCAAGCGCCGGCTGCTTTGCTCTTTCTCTCTCACTCGCTCTCATTAGTGTTTGATTTGCTGTCCGGCGGCCGCACAAAGGACCCAGAAAGCTGCCAACTTTTGCCACTTTTCTGCTCTCGCCCTGGCTGGGCCAAATAGGAAGGAAAGGCAGAACCAGCAGCGTGTCGAATCTCGTGCCTTTTTTGTTGCTGCCGCCAGGCGTCAAAACGCTCGCTGTCGGTATTTTTATAGGACGGACAAAAACGGAAGCCCTTCGAAAACTGCATTAGCTGCGAGCAGTGAAAACACAAAAAGGACGTAATGAACACACACCCTGTGCGTAAAAATAGAACGCAAAGCGTTGATGATGACGGAAGGGGATGATTAAAAATAAACCAACATTTGCTTTTTTTTCAATAAAAGAGTTCAAGTCTTGTGTTAATTAAGGAGTTTTAGAACTTTTAGATCAAATTTATGAAAAAAGCAGAAAATTTTTAACACTGTACACTAAATTAAAAAGATGTGTTTGATTTTTTGTTTTGAAAAAAATATACATTGCTCATGATCACATGAAACGAAAAGTTTTTGAAATTTTAGCACCTGAATTGTATAAAATGAACTGTAAGCAGTTTTATATTAAAGATATGAATTTTGCCACATTCAGCACTTAGTAATTACAGGAAAGCTCTGAGCTTTAAAAGAATAGATTTATTTGTAACAACAAAGCAACACTAAATCAAAGGTTTTTTTTTGAAAGGATTTATAACTGAAAGCTTTGAGCTCAGAGATAAGTTTTGGTGATCTCGATTTTATCCCCTTTTTATTTCATTTTGGCCAATTTATCAATCAGTTTTGGAGTTGTTAATCGTCCCACGGTTTTCATTAAACTCCAGTTAAACTTCAAACTAATTTGTTATTCAAACAATGAAGCATTAAAATAAAATCAATTTTTGAAATTAAATGGTTAATTCAGTAATATTTTTAATTTCTTTAATTCTTTTTATTATTTCATTTTTGCTGGTAGACGTTAACTACAGTGTTTTTGTTATGGTTTATTAGATAAATGATTTATCTCAATTAAGAACCTTGATTGGGTTATAATTATAAACTCTGATGAGCGTATTTTGCATATATATAGGCCTCAATCCAGCTTGCTGCGATGATATAAGCGCTAAGTAAACAAAATAAAAGTTAATAACGAACGAGGCGAATTTCCGCAACGATCAAGATTTTAATGCCTTCATCAACATGCACGGAGGGCAAAGTTAATGAGAAAGGCCGGGGTGTGCTAAAGGAATTGCACAGTGCAACAGCGGGAATGCAGCAGGCACAAAATGTTCCACTCTCAAGTGGAGCATCTCGCGCTCCTGCCGGTCGTAAAGCTGCGAGATAACTATGTTGGGACTTTGTCGGTCTTATTCTTCCTCTTTCATATAATTCTAAAAATTCAAAACTTCATTCGCAGCGAGAGCAGCGGTGGCGTGTAATTTAAGAGACTTCAAATGAAATTCCTCCCGCCTCCAGAATGCTCCTGCTAGAAAATAGTTTACCCAAGCAAAGACGCACCCTGAATTATGCAAGCACATTTCGCAGAAACTCTCAAGAGAAGGTTTTACAAATAAGCTCTTCACAAACTCTCAACCTGAATTGGTTGAATGATTATATATATTCTCAGAAAAATCTTTCACAGCTGGCTGAAGTATTACTCTCCTTATATATCTTATAACTTTTAATTTAATTTAAAAGAAAAATTATTTTCCCACTATAATTCACTGCCTACGCCATTTAGTTAAACGCTAAAAAAAGCATTGCATGAATAATCTTCTTTCTTGCGTGCTGGGCTCTCTGCCTGTTTTCGAGGCGCAGCGCGACTAGATCAAGCTCTAATTAATCTGGACGAGCCGCATTCATTAAGTTAACAACTTGCTCGCGCGCATGAGTGAGCAATCAAATTTTGCAAATTCGAAACACAACATCGGCACAGGGAACAAAATTTGCATGTTCATGGTGGTTGAACGCGTGTTGCAATATGTAAATTTTATTTGGAAATTCAATTTAGAATCTCGTCTTACAGTAATGTGGCGAGAGAGGAAAATATATTTATTTAATGAGTATTTCACCATAAATATGTTTCTTTTCGCGTTATATCTTTTACTGTTAGTGGAAATTTCAACATCAATATTTCCACAGGTGTTTCAACAGGGAAAATTTCAAAATTGTATAAAATTTTCTGACTCTTTTAATAAATTAAAAACTTTGGGAGAAATTTAGGCTATGGTCTATGGTGAAGAGCTTAATTTGAAATTTAATTCAGTTAACTAAATTTAGAATTTGCCATGCAGCATATAATTTTTAAATAATTGATTGTAAAAGAGATGCATCATTAAAATAGGGTTTTAATTTATAAAAAAAAAACAATTAAAACATTTATTTAGAAATTTAAGAATGCCATTAAATTTTTGCTGCTCCTTATATTTCCAATAATTCAATTTTTTTCACCACTAAAAAATCTTTCTTTAATTGAAATTTATTTCTAATACTAAATTTAATATCAATAAACGGTTTCGTTTTTTAACTGAATTGAATTATGATAAAAATTTCAAATCATCCATTTTATCCTCTTTGAAAATTAATTTCATAACTCTTGGGCGAGTCTTCTCTTATATCAGGATTAGAGCATATTCCCAGCCTCCCTTTTCTTTCAATTACAGCAAAGGTTGATCTTAGGACAAAACGCGCTTGGATCAATCACTTGGCAATAATTTCCTCTTTGCATCGTCGCTGACGTAAATCGGCCTGAATCGGTGCTGTGATTTAATTGGATTAATTTCAAGAGTCCTTGAGCATTTTCGAATCGCGAAATGGAGCGTTTCATTTTCAATTCAGCAGCAGAGACGAGAGAGAAATTGAAAGAGAGAATGGAGCCATTCAGCGGCAACGCGCGCTCTCTCGTGAAAGGCGGCTCATCAGCAAACAAAAAAGTTGCCAGAAAAAGCGTCGGTGGCGGGGCGCAAATGAAAAACGAAACACCAAACGGGGAGTCAAAACTTTTTTAATTAGCATGCAGCCCAGGCCAAAGAGAAGCGGCCAATTAATATTACAAGATGCAAGCGCGTGATTGCGTGTTTGCCGCCGGTCCTGTTTCAACCGCGGACAAAGAAAGGGTGCCGAGTTTGCTGCAGTATTTTTTTTTTTTTATCGCAGCTCTTTCATCCTCTCGGAAATCTGCTTCATCAAATTTTACGTCCCCTAGGGAGTGTTTAAATTGATTCTCACGGGTGAGGAAACTTTTAATCAATTTCTGACTAAATTTTTTTTAAACAATTAATTTTTATATATAAATTATTTTAATTAAAAAAAAAAAGAATAAAACGTTTAATTTGAACTCACCTTTCCTTGACAGTCCCAGCTGCACAAAACAAACGAGCAACAAAAACAAACAGGTTGAGTTAAAATTCGGTCCAGCCATGGTGGCCACACTTTTTTGGTCCTTTAGTCCGGTGACTTCACAATCCAAGCGCTAAATCTGATATGCAGCTTTTTCGGCTCGACCTGCTGGGGCCATCGACTGGGCGCTCGTGCTCGCGACAAGGCACCGAAAAGCACTGAGAAGGAGTGAGGGGGCGAATCTGCTGTAGGACCACCGCCAGCACTGACAGCACAAAAGCTCGCCCTTGTGTGGCGCAAGCGCTGCTCCGCTCCGCACGACTCGCGCAATTATTGCGAGCGGAATTAAGGCCTTTGAATGCATCTGTCGTGATTTGTGATTACTGATTTTATTCAAATGCTGTTAATAAATACTTTTAGTAAATAATTGACAAAATATTAAATTTTGAGGGAATCCTAAATTATATCAAGATTGAATAAAACCGTATTACATAATAAAATTTATCTAATTTTGTAAGATGTTAATGTTTCAAATAAAAAGATATTTTATTTTGGTAATTTCCATACTTTAAGAAGATGAATAGAAAACGCCCAGACTGACATAAACTTTAGCATTCTCAATGATCACTGCGACAGGCAGATTGGAAAGAAATTGCAGGCATTTCATCTGCAATTTCAGCTATGCAGTCTGATGTTTGCTGCGGTCACCATCAGACATTCCAGGCAAATGCCACCGGCATAGTCCCATTCTTAAGCCGCAGCCGCTCACCTCCTCATCCTTGAAATTCCTAAAAATCAAATCTTCCCTACATGTATGTACTCCTTTCAATCCTGCCCAGTAGGACTAAGGTCACCTTGTTATAGTCCCCGAAAGAGGAGGATCTGAATTATCAGCCATTGAGATTTAGCAGGCTTGGCTGCTACCTCTGGTGTCATTTACGAAAAGGATCTCGGACAATTAAAAAAAAAATTAAATGATAAAATAGTAGATAAATGTTGCACTAAACTTACAAATAAATTAAATGAAAAATTATAATACCAGGTGCATTCTTTATAAATAAAATGAAATTTTCTAGATAAATTTAGGGCGATGCGATGATAGATTATTTTAAACTTTTTGACTCGAAACCAAAGTTTACAATTCATAGAAGTTTGAGTAATGGAGTTTTACAAATTTTCGGAAATAAGACCAAATTTGGAGTCCTATTGATTCCAAAATTATTTCAATGCTAATTAAAATACCTGTTCCCTGCAACAGATGAGCTCTCTTGGACATGATAATTTTTAAACAATTGATGCATATCTCTTTTTCAGCGAACTTAACATCTTGAACTTTTAAACTTAATAACAAATATATAAATGGGGAAAACTTTTTTCGTTTTCCAGGGTCAGATCGGTCAGATCAGTTAAAAATTTACAAATCTCCCAGCATTATTCCCCCGTAATTGTAAACCAAAAGCTTTTACAGCCTCTGAATAAACCATGCCTGATTTTGAGTTGGGATTTTAAAATAAGCACCTCTTGTTTGTAAGCTGGTCATATGATGGATGTTTTGTTCAGAAACATAATTTCGTAAAAATTAATGGAAAATTGCTGCTTAGGATTAAATATGCAGATTTTAAATAATAAAAATCTGTTTAAAGGGAAGTTTTGTTGGAAAAGTCTAACAGACTGCTCTGGTTTAAACTCCATTCAAGTGTGCTTTTCTCCATTGGGTTAGAAATAAATAGCGGAAAATTCTGCGATGCGGATGGGGAACTCTCGAGAGTAAAAATGGTGAGGGAGAAGCAGCGAGATTAAAATCGGCAAACATTTCTTAATTACGTTATCAGGGTGAAGCGATCATTCGCAAGAGTGGCTCGGAAACTCCAGCGATTTGCTAAAAAAGTGGCAGGTTCGCTGCCAGAAAGGGCCGAACTGATTTTCCATTCCATCCCACGCTGCAAATGAAAAACTCTTTTGTGAGCCACGCTGCAGCGAGCTTTGGAGAGCGAATGAAAAAATGGTCGGTTTCATGCTGCGAGTTTTTGCCGCTTTGAGGGATGAGAAGTGAACAATGGACGTAATGAATCGTGGGACGTCGATTTTTAATATCATCCCTCGCATCGCCTCTCGTCGGCAAACAAAGTAACCGGAATATCTGCATGACAGCAGCACCACTCAGCGAGATGATATTGCCCGCTCCATCGCCGCCGATACGTTGAAAAAAGGAAAGAGAGATGTATCGACTTGTCTTGCCAGTGCTGATATTGAGCTGCAAAAAGTTTAGTGGCCAACTGGAAGCGTTATTGGAATTATAATCAGAGAAAGTGGTTGATTTTTTTATAAATGACACCTAATTTGGTTATATTTGAGGAGAGTTCTTTGGGAGTATTATAAATCGGCTGCTGTATTTTTTTGCACACTTTAACACCAACCAACATTAAAAATCTGTAGTATTGTAAAGAAAATATTAAAACAAAAACAAAATAATTATGTAGCAGCAATCTTAATTCCCCTTTAAAGTGTATATAAAATAAATAATAGAAATAAAATTATGTAAATACCAATTTTGGTGACTTTATGAAAACAATATATTTTTGAAGTTTTTTAAAACTTTACTATTACTTACTTCACATTGAAATAAAATCAATTCTTTTAACGGAATTTTAAATTGAAATTTGCGTATGAAAGGATAATTGAAATTGAATAGCACAAAGTATCATTTGAAATTTCGTAATGGTGAAAATCTGCAAATTGACGCAGTTTGTAATCAAACAAACAGCCTGAAACACGCGGCGCGGCCTGGTCGGCAGCCGAGTGTCCATTTGGTCCGCAATTCGTATTTGCTCTGCGTCAGTATTCATGAGGGGATTTGATCAGGGCTAATGAATAGACCCCTCTTCCTCCCTCTGGCCGACCGGCTGGCGAGCACCAACGCACACACCGCGGCACTCCAAACTCACAGACTCTCGGACGCGCCGGGCAGATAAATAGCATTCCAATCGGAGCAACGCAAATAGAGAAATATTTGATTCTGGTCTAATCTGAAACCTCACTGACTTGCGAAACAAGCAGGAAAAGCAAAATTGTAGGTAGGGGATAGAAGTGAACATTTGCTTAAACGTTAGGCATGCTCGTGAATATTGATTAATTAGAACTAGACAAATAATCAAAAAGCTGCCGTCTTATAGTGAAGCTATTCGTATTTAAAAAAGCAATCCAAATCCCAGTTATTAACTCAAAAAAGGTCATTTAATCACAATAAAAAATATTCAATAATTAAAAAAATTGTTTACTTTTTGCTCGAATTTCGTCCAGAAAATTCTTTTTTGTGTCGTACTTTGCACACTACTCGTGGGTCTATTGATTGAGCAGAGCTTGATGCTCATAGAAGCAAAGTACCCCTAAACCAGATATAGACCGCAGCATGAGTGCGATCAGACTGATTAGGATATCCGCCAATTTGAGTCCCCTACGGTGCAATGAGCTTCGTGGAATTTTATCGCTCAATCACCGCTTGTTCATGTTGCACCAGAACAAGCGCATTAAATTTTATTATAAATATGATTCTAGCAAGAAATTTGTATTTTTGCGCTCATACAAGAAACAAAAATTTGGATTCCAAATTGCGTTCAATTTGAGCAAAATGCATTAAAGAACTTAATTTCAATTAAAATTACGGCTATTACAATCTCTGTTTCAATTATTTATTGTATTTTATTCAAATATTTTGAATTTATTTTTATAAATAAGAATTTTAACAAATTTTCCGGCATCCGGTACGGTGTTAATTAATTTTATTGATTTGGCATCTGATATTTACATTTCCGAACGTTTAACAAATTATTTACCGTTTTCTGTTTTGACGCACGTAGCTTTTAATTAGGTAGAGCAGGTGTATATTTTCAGATGCAATTATCAGAACGCTATTGCGACCATATTGAAACCAGTTTTTCAGCAGGCAAGAGGTAAGAAAAACGTTTGCTGCTCCTTTATTATTTGTAATTAAAAAACGTTGACCCTCGTCGTTTTAAACAATTATCATTTTTGTCAGCTTTCCCACATCATTACGATGCTTGAAGACGAGCAAATGGAAGTTGATTTGTCCAACAATAAACTGTTGGAAATGTCCAAGCGTGTGCTCAGAATAGTGGATTTGTGGAGCAATGACAGACCCATTTCGAAAATCCAAGGGTGGTTCCAGAACGCTTTTAAAAAAATTTGCAGTCTTATATTGGTGGCAATGCTTTCAAATTGCGCCATCAATGCCATTTTCGTTGAACATAACGTTCTCGAACTGACGAAAATAACTATCGTTTTCATTCAACAATTATCAGTTTTGCAGAAACTGTTGATATTTCAGAAGCGAAGGAAACAGATATCAGATCTTCTTGAAGCTACTTTTGGACCTATCACAGTAAGATTAATCTCATCTTAAGGGTGAAAGCAATTTTCCTACTTTTTCATTATTCGTTATAGGTTCCACCAACAATGATCAAAGAATTTCATGCTTTGCGAGCATCATGCAGAGTTTCTCGAGGATTATTAACTAAATTTTTCATATTCTCATACGCGCAGTACACACTTCTGTAAATTTTTTCTAATTTCAAGATTTTTTTCGACGGCAGCTTAGAGACGGCTTGAGTTCCAGCGTTCAAACCTTACCCAAATTAGCAATGAGCTTTTTAATAACCATCAGCATTTTGCCATCCACGTTTATCTCTATGGGTTTCGTGCTGTTCTACATGGCTTTGGCAAGTCTCGCTATCCACCTACTGAATCATCTGCACCAGGTTCTTAAAAATCTGCACTACCCTCAATGCATCCAATATTACGACGATGAGGACTACAACGAAACAGTCAACCGTATTTTGCAATACGCTCACCAAACCCACTTGCGGATCATCGAGTACTCAAACAAATCATTGAAATGTTTGAATTATTTAATATTTTTTTTTTTCAGTTTCATCGAAGGCATCAACAAGTTTTTTGCATCGGCGATACTGCTCCATTCTATTGTAATGCTTGCGGCTCAATGCACTCTGGCTTTTCACATAACATGGACTTGGAACAGAGACAATCAATTTTTTGTTAAAATTATGACCAGCAGGTGTGGATTTCCATCTCACCTACGAGTTGGACCAGTTTATCTGCTGTGTTTGCCATATTTGGCTTCAGTAAGTGTCTAGAAGGAAATTTATTATAGCCTGTTAAAAAATTAAATCAAATTTTTAGATAATAGAATCTGATAAAATTAACTT